TTGTACTACAAAGTCGCCAGTTCTCATCTTCCAGCTCCCCAGATACTCCGCGGTCTCAAGTTGTACTTCCAGCTCCACAGATTGCTCCGCGTACTACAGTTGTACTACAAAGTCCACAGTCCCGCACAGGGTTGCGCCGGACAGATCCAAATCGCACTCTCGCCTGCATGTCGCGCACTCGACACGCACGATCTCCGCAGAGGGTTCTCCCGGACCGCTCTCGCCTGCATTTCGTTCACTCGACACGCACCATCTCCGCAGAGGGTTCTCCCGGACCGGGTCAAATCGCACTCTCGCCTGCATTTCGGCATTTCGCGCACTTGACGCGCACGATCTCCGCAGAGGGTTGTCCCGGCCACATCGCACTCTCGCCTGCATTTCGCGCACTCGACACGCACGATCTCCGGAGAGGGTTGCGCCGGACAAACGCAAATCGCACTCGCGCCTGCATTTCGCGCACTCGACACGCACGATCTCCGCAGAGGGTTGCCCGCGACAAAACCAAATCGCACTCTCGCCTGCATTTCGCGCGCTCGACACGCATGATCTCCGCAGAGGGCTGCGTTTCGTGGTGCTCCGGCGGTACTGCCCCCGGCCGTAAGAGAGAAAGTTAAGAAGAGCGAGAGGTGAAGATGTGAGATGTAGATGAGAGGTAAAGATGAGAGGTAAAGATGTGAGATGTAGATGTGAGGATGTGAAGGTGAGCAGAGATGTAGATGTACAGTTGTGAATGCATGTGAAGATGAGCAGAGATACAGGTGAGAATGTGGATGTGCAGAGGTGAAGATGTGAAGATGTAGATGAGACGATGTGAAGATGTAGATGAGACGATGTGAAATAGAGGTCTGCAGATGTTTTTTTACGAAGAACCCTTCGCAGGCGCTCTCGGGAAAAAACAATTAAACGCATATTTCTTACGTTATTGGGGAGGTCGATCCATCTCCCAACTCACGTGCAATTTGGACTGGAAAGTGTTTGAAGTGCCCAGAATCGGTTTCAGTCTGAGTCCCAGAATCAGTCTGAACTGTTAGCAGACAGACTGCAAAGTTGTTGCGAAGCTGTTGGCTGTTAGCTCGAATGTCCATTCCGACACCCACGACAACTCCGAGACCCGAGTCGGGGAAGACAACTTCACGAACCCACTAGCGTCCTACTAGTAAGGCCCTTGCTCCGAGTAGCGATGCACTTGTTCCTAGTAGCTTCTTGTTACTATTAGTAAGGCACTTGTTACTAGAAACGATGCACTTGTTACTACTAGCGTACCCGACTCTTGGCCTCTTCGGCTTCCGAACTCTTCGGGGTCGCCGAAGGACGCAGCTCTTCGGCGTGGTTCGCCACGCCGAGCGCGCGGATGGCGTCTTCGCCTTTTGGGAGGGTGGCCGGTGGTCGAGCTCAGAGGACGGCCGCAGGCGGGTGCCAGTGGTGCGGGGGTGGTGGGGCAGAACATGTAGGGCCTAATGGTGAGGAAATGGGGAAGGACACTGGAACGGAGGGGGACTCCAGCAAGGACTGCATGTGGAGGTGCAATTCTCAAAATATTCTCATCAATGGGTTGCACTTCCTCCAGGGCTTTGCAAGGTACACTTACTTCACCCAAGAACAAACCGGGCTTTGGACATCGTGTAGTGATCGCCTTGCCAACACGCGACCTGTATACAGTCCATGATCTCCCATCATTCGTTGGTCAGGTTTCCTTTGGATCCACCTTTGAGCGATTCAGGCCTGGAACAGGCGGGCCGGGGTGAACGAAGGGTGTTTACCCACGAGCTTTTGATTCTCAGCGGTTGCTAACGTGTGTGTTTTTTATCCTCGAATCAACACACTTTTTGTCAGAGCCAGTGCTTGTGTAGGGAAGAGGTGGACACTTGAATACATTTGACACACATAAGTTATGGGCGTGATATGGCATGATAAGATATAACAAAAAAACCTATATGTACACATATTCTTGGATTATAGATAAAGGCTTATCCTGGCGGAGGAAGATGTCCTTGCATCATCGGGTTCCAAGAAACGTCCCTTGTGAGGCAAAGAGTTTAGGTGCCTGGATCGATGATTATGCTCAGAAGTCACTCGGCTCCCATGGGCGGGGGACGTCTGACATTTTGATTTGTCGACTTACACAATATAGACATAGTACACTGAATCATTGCCTATAATAGAACTCAATGTTCAATGAATTCGATTGGTGTTCATCACTGGTGAACGGTATGAAACTCAGAGCTCTCCAGAAGTACCAGGTTCAGTAGGGCCAGGGCACACGCTCAATTCTGATAGTGGCACTCCATATCATACACGATCTACCTCTAAGACTTGAATGTTGTAGGCAGGACACCACTCTACCTCTACCTACTCCTTCGCACACTCTCGCATCACTTCACGTACTTCGACACGTGTATCTCCGCTTGGGGCCCAGGAAGGACTCCAAGTTCCACGTGGTCGTTTGCTCACCCTATTCGCGGTGTGTACAGACTGCCGTGGGGATTTGCAATCGTTTAGGCCACGTGTTGGGCGACACGTGTTGGAGAGAGCATCGTGGAACGCAAACACGTCAAAGACCGATGTTGAGAGTGACATTCATGAGATGGAGATCTTCATCCACTGAAGAAAGCAGGATTGCTTCGACCATCGATCGTTGCCGACTGTCTATGCGACAGGCCCCAACGTGAAGATGCTCATAGACCTTTCTTTGGGAGAAGTCTATGGCCCTTCAGTGATGGGAGAGGCCTCGCCCGCCGGTGGAGTTGCATGGGTAAACCATGGCAAACCCATCATAAATCAGACTGTTAGAAATCATTGGAATTCATGGGCCTATGGCCTCTTGAAGTCTACTCTCTTTCTCTATTTAATACTATTGAATAGGATTGTTTGGAATGGGGAGACCCTCCAACTCCAAGCACTTGGTTTTTGCTGATTTGCATTTGCTTCTTCCAAGAGTTGAGCATGGTTGAACTGAGGGTTCTTCATGGTTCTTCCATGTTCTTCCAAAACAACCCAAAAGATCTTTTGCATAGGCAATAGACATCAAATGACATCAAACCAACAATATCTTTTGTCCAAGCCGATGACGACTTTGACCAGAGGCCGAGCCTCGATCACACTTGCGTGCCTTTTCTGTGGCAGCCTCTTGGCACGGTTGCAGATGACTGGTTGCGGGAAATGGAGGACG